TATTTTGCAAAACTGATTACGTAATTTCATGCAAAAAATATCATGGCAAAAAAATTCACATGATCATATGAAATGTCAGATAAAGCAATTTAATTGGCTAATCCATTTCTACTATTGGTATTATATCTAAACCTCTGTGTATAATACTTGTATAATACTTGTATAATACTAGTAGTATAATACAGTATTGGTATAATCTATATTTCTAGCAACAGCCTATAGGCAGGGTTTCTAATGTTGGATTTACTTATTTGCACAGGTGATACAAACCAAAAAAGGAAAAAAACAAAACATATTTTTTTATTAACACAAATAACGTATGAGAGTTACAATGTTAGAGTTAGGAGTAAGGCATAGAATATACTAAAATTTTGCAAAAAATTTTTTTTATTAGAATATTAAAGGTGATTTCTTATGCAGAATTTTAAGTTACTGGCTATTTTTTGAAAAAGCCTTCGTTTTCAACGATTATACCTGATCTTGCAATCTATATAAGAAATCTCCTTATTTGGTTTGTATCACTTGCGCAAATAAGTGTATGCTCTAATGTTCATCACTAATTCTGGACTAGTCAATGCTCATGTGCTGATCTACAGAAAATTGTAATAAATAAATATGTTCAGTGTGTATTCATTCCAATTTCAATTTTTCATATTTTGTTTAGTGATTTAACTTATAAGCATTATAAGTGTATTTTTCTCTTTTTTATATATATAACTAATAAAATAAACAATATCGCAATGGAACTTTCGAGTTAGTTTTTTTTAAATATTAATGAAAAAACTTTTGAACGATATATAAACAAGACTCTCAGTATTTCCTTCGAAATATTCAAGAAAGATTATGATGATAAAAAAGAAAACACATATGAAGCATTTCTGTATGACCTAATATCCAATAACGAAATCATTGTAAACAAACATGCAACCATAGTTTTTCTTTCAAACGGAAAACGCAAAATGTTATTAGATAGCAATATTGATTTGATAGGTAAGCATTTGTTTACTGATTGGAGATATTGAATGCTTGTTAACGTGTAAGTTACGCTGCGGGTTGAGTAAAACTGGGAGGTAGCGGTATCGTCCAGTGTTGGCCTACAATCTATTGTATATATTTCTTTTATGTATAAATTCTGTCATTAAGAAACTCCTAATAGTTGCTCTGTATAGACGTTAACATAATGCGTAGTTGACGCGTGAGTTGAGTGAGATTGAAGAGGCGGCAGTGTTCTTAGTGTGTAAATTTCCTTGTTAAGAAACTCTTGATAATTGCTCTGCATATTTATCATTCATGATAAAATATCTTGTATTTTTTTTTTTTTTTTTTGGTGTTAAGGTGGCCTCTTGGCCGGCTCCTTTTATTCGGTTATAGTTAACTTTTACA